TTAGTTCTAGTGGTCTTTTGTGGTAGCCTTATAGGGGTTAAAATTATTGGCATTTTGTGCAAATCATCTTCAGATCATGAAATTAGTCACTAGAAAATATATACTCATTCGACACCTCTTTTACTTATTATTATTGTAATGAAACACTCTATCACTTCTGTCAATAAAAAAAAATTCAAAGCAATTTTACGATTTAATAGTATTTCACTTTCACTTATAAGCGAGAAGTATTCAAATCTATAAAAAAAAAAAAAAAAAAAAAAAAAATTATGTTGAAGGATTTCTCTATTGCATAAGAGAATTGCACATTTGGAACAGAACGATCATGGTTAAATCTCAAAAGAGAAAAGTGAAAAACTGTCCGTAGAGCCCAAGCCCCAGCCCAAATCTTACTATTCGTAGAAGGAAATATAAAATCCTCCTCGAATCTGCGACTGGGGCAAAATAAACCCCCAAATCTCAACACTGTTTCCGCCATTAGGGTTTTCCGAATCTCAAATCTACAAATTCCGATACCACACTTCATACCTCCGAATCCGAAATTAGGGCTTCTCTTGCACGAAATGTCGTCGGGAAGACCCAAGGACGGGGACATGCAACTGGTGGCGGCGCCGGAGAGGAAACTAGCCCAGCCGCCTGACAGGAAACTAATGCTACCGCCAAGGCCACCGACGGCAGCCGGCTCGACGGCGCTTGTGGAGTATACGCCGCCGGTGTTCAAGGAGGAGGAAGAGGACCTCGAAATCAAGCTCCGGAGGATTCTCGAAAATGTACCGGTTCGCGTCAGTAACACCTCCGGTAGCTCCGCCGGTTCGGGCTCTGGCGACTTCCATCAGGTATTATATTTGGATGCAGTATCACAATGGTGACTCTGATTTTCTTGGGATTGTAGTTATTGGATAATGATGCGTATTTGAGTAAATTACGGGATAAATTGGAGTAGATTGAGTGAGGATATAGCCATATAGGGTTGATTATCTTAGGGTGTCTATAGAAATTAGGGTATTCAGAACTTAGACAGCTGAGGGTAGAACATGAGTAGTACAGTAGTTAGGGGCCCTTGGTTTCGATCGACAAGAACATGAATTATTAAATTTGAATTTACTTGTTGGGCATATAATTCCAATACTAAAACACTTACCTATGCCCATAGCAAGAGAACGATAACTTACAATTAGCTGGAAAAAAAAAAAAGGAATTCATTTCGATAAGGTGGTATATGAGCTTGCCGGGGATTAGGGATATTCAAGTTTGGGGTTGAACAAGTCTTTTCTTTTGTTAGTCAGACTCAATGCTAGATTGCTAGAATGTTGAGGGGGTTAGTCGATTTGTGTATGCCTACGTTAGGTCCAACTGTGCACCATAAAGTAGAAGAATGTGTTAATAAGAGTCAAGCACTATAACTGAGTTGTTCCCGTCTTTTTGGTTTGAGAGATTTTGCAAGGACGTAAAGCGATTTTTCTTATTTAGTGTTATTTTGGAATTGGTGGGAACATTTTGGTACCCATGTTGGCCGAATGGATATGGAGTATGGTTAACTCTTTTATACAGATTATGTGGACAGCAGAACTTAATAGATATTGACTGACTAATCCTTCAGTTAACAGAATTGGTTCTCTTATGGATGAATCTCTGTCCTTTTCTCTGCATGGATTAGTGTTTTCTGCTTGAACTTGGGGTTCATTTATGATTAAACAATGTAGTATTCTTTGAAAAACTGTAGCTTATTATATGCATAAGGATAGAGAAACCTTCGATCTTGAGCAATGTAATAGAATGCAGTGCTGTCACTCTTCAAGTTTAAACTTTGGGACAAGAGATGCCTGGAATTGTCTTGTTTTTCTTGCTGCAATAAAATAGCCTCTTTCTCAACAAAAACAAAAAGTTCCTGGATTTTTACGTACTGCAATACAGTGTAGCCAGGTGCAAGCTGAAACTGCTATTTTCTCTATGATCTTGAGTTTGAGTTTGATTTTGGATCAATCTTAAATGATAAATAGTTAATACCAATTAGATAAGTATCTGAAGTTCTGAACATGTTAAAAAATATAATTTCCTTTTCTTACGCCTGCTTTAGTGACATTGGAATATTTGATTGGTTATGATTTGTTGGACTCATTAAGCTGGCCGCTAAATTTCATGTAAACTTTTTTCTCACCCCAAGTTGTACATCCACAGTATCGGCAAATGAGACGGAAAGAGCAAGACAGGATTGCTAGGATGGACGTGGACTATCAAAGAAGGAAAGAAGAGGCCGAGTTCAATATGAGGAGGGAGGAAAGACTGAGACAGGCTGAAGAAAAGACAGCAAAGAAGCGTTTGAAACGTCAAAAGAAAAAGCAGAGGAAAAATGAGAAGAAGATGAAAACAAATTCAGGTGGCGAAGAAAAACAGAAAGAAGAGCCCTCGGACGATGAGGGGAACTCTGATGATCAAACTGAACAGGCTTGTACCAAGTTTTAATTCTTGATGCATCGGCTCAAAGCCTGGTATCCATGGGCATTGCAAAGTCAAGGAGCAAGTATGGACCAACTTAATTGGGATTTTATTTTTTTGAATTCTAGACTTTGTCATGTTTGCGACCTAAGTTCGATTGTATATAATCCGAGATGTAACCACCCAAGGGATTAGAACAAATTAAATTTTGATTTAGTTCAACTATTTTCTTGATATAAAAATGCAATGTTGAACAAGAACGATGTAGTATGCGTCGTGATCGGGTGCTCTGTTCTCCTCTAGAGTGGCATGTAGCATTTGTTTGCTTGCTTGCAATTGCATCATGCTTGTGAATGGGTTGGCTACGCACTGCACCAAAAAATCCACGTATGATAATTTGGCAGTTGATCCACATCACATAACCCTGTGAATTTCAAGTTTCAACTAATGCACTGCAAAGCCATAGATCCTAGTGGAAACATAAACCGCAAGATTGTATAGTCAACATCATTTTCTAGAGTTATTCATTTCGTTTTTAATTTTTTGTTTTTGTAGTTAAATTTAAGGGGGATTGAGCAATGAAATATAGGGTCGGAGGGTATTAACAAATGGCGTCAGAACAATAGATGAAAAAAGTTGAGGTTCTATTATAAACCCATGCAAAGTCATTTTCATCATTGTGGAATTCATTCTCCAACAATAGCCAAAGAGATGCGCAAGAAATGCTTATGACATGGTGAATGAAATGAAAAACTACAAAAAATAGAAAACAATTTCAAAATAGTTGCTTCTAAAAAAAGAAAGAAAAAAATCATGATCAATAGCGTATTGAACTTATCCAACTTATTTGGAAACCCCTCTTTATGATAAGTAGGTAAGATTAGAGTTGAGAGTTAAGACCACATGTCGCCCTCAACAAAATTGGTTAGGAGGAGGATAATTATTTACTTGTAAAGGACAATTGAATTAAGGCTTAGTTTTTGGTATATCCTAAAACTTGAACTTAATTCCACTTTCTCTTCTGGAACAAAGATGTGTCATTTTGCACCATGAAACTCAATACTTAACAGATTCCACTTCTTTTTGTGTTGGAGTCGAAATTAGACCCTTTGAACACAAAGTTCCTAAATCCTTTAAGCTATAATCTTTCAAGGTAACATTTTGTGGGCTGAATGGGATTGAGCCTTAGAGATAGAATTGGATTGGCAAAGACTTATACGACATGACTTGTAAGGATATGTTAGATAACCTACTTTATTTTGAATTCATAACCTATTATATCTAGTCATACACATCTCACATTTTGACACAAAAAAAGGATTAGACTCAAGTCCATTTTGATTGATCACAACTTATCATATCCAGCCCACCAAACGAGGCTTTAGTTCTTCTTTAGTCCTTGTATGAACCTAATTGTCGACTAAGGGCAGAGATGTCTAATTCAATGGTATTGGTATTTTGTTTTCAGAGTAAATTGTAGCAGTGGTCCCTCAACTTTAACTCAATTAGAGCAATGGCCCCTTAACTTTAGTTCAATTGGAGCAATGGTCCCTCAACTAAAAATCTATTATCATTGGTCCCTCAACTCATCAAAACGTGCAGCTATGGTTCTTTTCGTCAACTTCGTTAGAACTTCAGTCAAAATGAGTCATGTGTCATGCACATGACGCTAAATCAAGGAGCAAATATGGAAATTAGATAAGAAAAATTATATCAATGGTCCCTCAACTTTAATCCAACTAGAAAAATAGTCCCTTAACTTTAACCCAATTGAAACAATGGTCCCTCAACTTTAACTCAATTGTAGCAATGGTCATTCCAACTTAACTCATATTGACAAAATTCTGACGAAGTTGACAAAAAAGATCATAATTACATGCTTTTATAAGTTGAGGGAGTAATGATAATGAGTTTTTAGTTGAGTGACCATTGCTCTAATTTGATTAAAATTGAGGGACTATTGGTACAATTTACTCTTGTTTTCATGTACGTGAGTCCTTACAAGAAGGAAGGCAACTTACTGATTTGATCATTATACCCTTCTCCCTCCCTTATGACAGGTGAACAATGACACTAGCAAAATTCCTTCCACTTTAGCATTTTTTTCAAGAATATTAGCAAAGTAGAGTGAATATTGAGTTTTAAGTACAAAATGACAGTATTTTATTTAAAAAATAAAAATAAATTCAAGTTCTAGGTGCATACGAAAACCAACAGGATCCTCCGAATCATTTTGGTGAGGATCCTGGAGTTTGTAAATCGTGTATGTTCATCGTTCATTATGCAATCAGTTTTTGTCAAGTACTGTTTGTATTTAATTTTAAATAAAAATATATTAAATGATTTCTGACCGGATGATATACGATAAACGAATATAATTTACGAATCTCTAGGATCCTCACAAAAAGGATTCGGATTCATACGAAAAAATGAGCCTTAAATTAAAGTGCATTATTTTATGGGAGGGCAGGTAATAAAATACAAAGATAGACCCAGATTAGCAATTTTGGGCTTTTGTCTTAGTACGAGTTAATTACAGTACAAAAAAAATTAAGGGAGTCATTGCCATTTCCTCTTATTGTTAATATTTCATTTCATTTTGTAATTCCCATCTCCCTCCCTATCAAATTCCATCTCTCTTCTCTCTGAAACCCTAAATCTCCATGGGAGAATCTATGCCTCCTCGTCGCATTTCCGTTCATCAAGCTCTCGGAGGTGGCCATGGTACTCTCTCTCTCTCTCTCTCTCTCATACACACACACACACACACACACGCATGCACACACATACTTAACACAGATTGATTTATAATTCCATAGAATTATTTGCGATTCCGATGTGGTATGGATCGATTCTACTTCCATTGTCGACGGCTAAACAATAATCTCGTTTTTAACATTCGGTAGATTTGAATTATGGAATAATCACTACATTGTTCTTGATCTTAATTTTGTAATTAATTATGTTAATTTTGGGATTTAATGGTAGTTGCCGATGTGCTGCTGTGGAAGAAATGGAGTGGAGGAGTTTTACTGCTGAGCTCTACGACGGCGTCTTGGTTGCTGTTTGAGCGAGCTGGCTACAATCTCTTGTCCTTTGTGGCTAATGTTCTACTGCTACTTGTAGTCATCCTCTTCCTCTGGGCCAAATCGGCTTCTCTTCTCAACAGGTAACCCTCTAATTCTTGGCAATTTTTCGCTGCGTTTCTTGTATACTTTTTACTGATCTTGTTATCCCAGCAAGAATATCCGGGTTCTTTTAGCTTCGATTAGAAGTACATTTACTTGGAAAATATTATATTTGATCAGTGAACTTTTTTTTTCCCAAATGCGTTCCAAACAAAGTAACTAAGAAGTAAGAACACAAGATCGGTTGGGAGAATAGAATTGATGTTTCTGGGAAAGATTGGTGATGGTTATACAGTTTGGCACATTGGTTTTAGTTTTGAGGTGATTCTAATGAAAAACGGCGTATGCGGTCATTCAGACCTTTGCCTCCTCTCCCTGATATGGAAATCTCAGAGGCCAATGTAGTGAAGGCTGCTGATGCACTGCATGCTGGGATTAATCGTGGACTGTTTATTGCACGAGACATTGCTATTGGGAGAAATTGGAAACTCTTTCTTCAGGTAATATGTAGTTGCTTCATTCTAGGTTTATGGTTTGAATGAGGTGAATAGGTTTTGTAGAATACATAGAACAGGACTTTATTAATATTACTAATTGGAAGTTTTGATCTGCTTCTGCAGGTCGCTTTCTGCTTGTGGCTAGCTTCTTACATCGGAAGTTTCTTCAACTTTCGTACTCTTGTCTACATTGGTAAGCTCTTTACTGCACATTGTATCTATTTATGTTTGGGTGCATGTTCTTGAAAGATTTACGATATTTATGCATGGACATTTCTTTAACTCTAATGCAGGGGTTCTCCTAAGTCTTTCAGTGCCTGTGTTGTATGATAAGTATCAGGACCACATTGATGATAAGCTGCATGTAGCAAACAGGGTAATACAAGCACAGTACAGGAAAATTGATGATAGCATCCTAAAGAAAATTCCTTTGCAATCAAACAAGGAGAAGAAGCTACAGTAGGTAAGTGTGACGATTTTCGCCTACAATATACTTCTGTTTATCTATTCATATTATTTCTTCTTCCCCATCCCTAACAGCTAGAGTATCAAGGCATTGGTGGAATTAATTCAGGCCATATTTGTTATTTATGCTGTTTTGCTGAATCTATGTGCACAGTGGATTTGAAGGATGTGATTAGTGTTTTCAGTTAAATATCTTGTGAACTATTGAAGTGTGAAAATCTCTTGCTTCATTATGCTTTAGGATGTTCATTATTTGTATTCAGAAATGAAGCTATAATATTGCGTAACCAAGTTTACTGTTATGGTCTTTGGTAGGAAATTATAAGCGAAACATACTAGTAAAGAAAAGGAGTGTAGTAGTGTGCTCTCTGCCTTGACTCTTTTGATGTTCCTCCCAATTGGGAAGGACAGAACTTTAAGTGGCTAGAGAGGAATGGAGGATAATCTTTAAAATGGGTGGAGCATGTATAATTGATTTCTGGGTATGGGCTTGTGTCGAATGAATGGGTGTCTTATTTAGATGCGATGATTGAACGAATACGTGTCTTATGTTGTGGCATCTGTTTTTAGAAACTGTATTGTTTTGATTGAAAATTTTGTCTAATGAAAGTCTGAATAGACACAAAGGCCGAACCCAGACATTTCTTGGGCCATTGCCTGGGGAAACCTTTACTCCATAATAATTTCTGACATTTATTTACACCTTTAAGACATTTAAATTAGCCCTTTTTTTTCCGGTGAAGATTAAATAATACTTCCTTTTCTCTCATTGTCATTCTGGCTCTCTATCCTTTTGTAAATCTTTCTAAAATAAAAAATTGCACCTGTCTATCTAAAAAAGAAGAAGACTATCTCGCACAAAAGAATTATTTTAGATACCATGCTTTCACTTGGATTAGTTTTGGGTAATTAGTAAACTGTACGTATTTCAAACAGAGTATTATTGTTTTAGTTTGTTTTCACTTTGATGAATAAAGTGAAACTCATTTTGAAGTATGAAATCTCCGTTGTATGAGAAAGCTTCTTACCTATGGTATTGATTTAGAAAGCACGAAATCTCTATTGTTCGAGAAAACTGAGATGATTTTTTAGCTGTGGTATTGATTGTATGACATGCATCTGCGTATGAAATACTTTAACCATAAATTTTGGTTTGATAGTCTCTGGATACCTATAACGAAATCTGTGTTATTCATTCATAGGATATTGCCTTTAAAATGTATTTGGTGGCAACAAAATCAGTTCATTTAAATTTAATGAATGTAATTTCTTACATATTGCATTATCTAATATATACCAGGGTCTAAACAGCTTAGCTTTTCTTATGCCGATCAGTCTGATTTCGTATGGCATTATTCCTCTCTCTAAAGTTTTCTGGTTTCTCTTTGAATGGATTACCCGTTCATTTTCTTCACTGTCTATCTGTGTACACTGGAATCCAAATTGGTGTAGTTTTGGTTGATTTTTGCGCTTTACTCAAATCATCTGAATCCAGATGTTACCTGCGTTCGATTCTATTAGTTGCTGCTGATTTTTACTAGAACACATGTATATACGATGCAGGGTATTATGGAGCGACGAAAAGTGTGATAACAGCCTTTTATAGATGGGTTTCGAACATTCCCGTGCTTGGGTTATATTTTTGTTGACATGCTGCGGCTATACGTATTGACAGTGAACCGGCATAGTTGACAAGATTTGGGTGGATCCTGTGAGTGTCTACATTGTTTTTGGCTCTGGACCTTATAATATTGTTGGGTGGATCTTGGTGGTTAAAACTTTACGCGTTCATATCTGTGGGATGAAAGAGAGAAACTTAATCCTTATAATGAAATATAGAATGTTTTTGCCTGCCTTGCCAACCTATATGTTTCATTGTTGGTGCGTGAAATTTCTTTTCATTATTTTCGTTGCGGAAATTGCAAAACTTGTGGATTTGGATCCTTGCCGGATCCCCTTCCTAGGGATCCTAGGGATCAAAGAACATAAACGGTTAATCAAAAATCGTGCGGTCACAATTTTTTCCTTTTTTATATTTTTCCCACAAAACAATGGTGCTTTACTTTTAAAAATATAAAAAGCATTTAATTGAGATCGCACGATTTTTTATCAACGGTTCATGTTTGTTGATTCTTAGAATCTCCAAGGAGGGGATCCGGCAAGGATCCAAATCCAAAACTTGTGGCACTTGCTACAGTCGATGCTCTGGACTGAATGTTGACCGTGCGATATCATTTTATTTGTATTCAGTGCTAACACCCGATGCCCTACCATAATTCTTGTACGCAAACACGCATTTGGAAAGAGGCAGCAAAACCTACGAAAATAATACAGAAACGCGTTTGTCCTATAACATCCCGGAGATGAGAAAAACACTTGCAAAACTGCGGCTTCAAAGCGTCTTCAACAAGATACACCAACGGTAGAGATGAAACTTATGCGAATCTGGGAATGCCTTCTGAAGGTGGCAATGTTACTGAGCGCAACAGCTCTAGCGAGAAAACAAGTCCCAAGAAGTGAGAAAGGATAGTGTTCGCCGATGCCTGCAACAGAAACGCGAAACGTCAGTTTTCTCTGAATTACAGATTCTTTTCTAGAAAACAGTAATCTAGAGAGTTCCAGAATAGAATGAGAACTAAAGCGAGATATATGAACATACCTGAACCAAGAATACATCCAAGGCAAGAACAGGACTGTAACCAGGAGTGAGACCCTGATATGGATTCGCAGAGGTAGTAAGAGCCTTAGCAACCAACAGTCCCACCGTTGCTTGCATGCCAAGAACAGCAGCACCCATACCCAAAAGGTTCAGAATGATGCCATTCTTTAAGCTTTTTATAACATCAGCGCGCGGAGGAGCCTGTTTATTATAAGCAGTGAAACACAGATGTTATAGGTAAAATAAAAGGTGCCATCGGAGGAGAATCGCAGACAATTATCAGATGCGAACACATCTTTCAAAGCATTCGAGTAGAATCTAAGCTAATTTCAATAAGATGCCCCACAACGGGATGCTAATGACGGAAGAAGATAAGGAAAATGAAAACAGATTAAGTGCTCACAGGCAATTATAGTTACAAGGATTCCAATTCATTGAAATGCGACTGGAAGTACAATTTCTTTGGGTGACTGGCAGGCAACTGCATTGTTATCTTATCCTGGTGAAGGAAACACTTAATACAACATTTGAAATAAGTTGCGCCTGACTTTTCCTCGTAATTTACTATCAAAGTGTAGATAATTGATTTGATACGGGATAATGGGAAAGACGAAAACACTCATTGGAATCAGTCAAGCATTGTGTTAAAAGTTGAGCATATCAACATCCCATGGAACTTCACATCGAGCACAAAGTCCAGGCAACATCATTTGTCCGAAGACAGTAAAATCGCTTATATGGAATCAATTTCAAGAAGCACGTACAATTCAATCACAAACACATTAGCTTTTCCAAAATTCAAAATTTCACAATACCTTTGCAGGGTCACTTGCAGTTCTTCGAAGCTTATCCGAGAGGCGAATGTACCCAAATGACCAAAACACGGAGACGAAACCCGCCACAATACCACCGGCAGTGGCATAAAAAGTAGGCGGTGACGAAACCTTGCCGGTGATAACAACAGAAAACGAAAGAATCACTGCCGCCACAACAGTGCTCACCAGCTGCCCCCAAAAGCCTAAACTACCCAACCTCTTGAAATACCTCGCTGTGCTCTCTAACCTTTTGGCTACCTACACAGCACAAACCACCCAAAGCACTTCACTTTTCAATCAAATCATCAACAATGCAATGCAAAATTCGAAATTTCAAAATCAATGGATTCAAATTGGGGTCAATTTAGTAACAATTGCTGTAATTTCAATTCATGCTCTTACATTTTCCTACATTTTCTCGGTAACCAAACAGAAAATAGAATAAATTGGGCAAAGTTGAAGGAGAACCTGAAGGAGCTTGGCCTTTTCGGTGTCGTCGTTTGGGGAGGTGAAGGTCTGAGAAATTGGAGTGGAAGAAGCCCTTATGGTGCTGAAGGAGAGCTTTGATCCTCTGTGGGTGGGAGCAGCGTAAGAGGAAAGAGACGGAGAAGAAAACGAAGAAGAAGAAGAAGAAAGAGGGAGGCTGGGCACGTGGCGGTCGGAGATTGACCGAAGAGGAAGGTGATAAGCTAGGGGCCGAGTCGTGACAGCTGGAGGTGGCGCCGCCGTGAAGTAGCCGGCGCGAGCCGCAGGCGATAGTAAAGTTTGCATAATTAAACAGTTAGTAGAAAGAGTGGGAGAGGAAGTGACTTTTGCTCCGTTGGTGACCTGGTAGCTTTTGGTTTGGGGAGCTACTTGCTAGTGAGGCTACTAATGGTCATGGGCTTTTCTGTTGGGCTTGAAGGGGCATGTGTTGGGCCATAAATATTTGACATCCTAATTTCGAAAACTTTGGGCAGAAGAGCCCAAAAGTTGAAAATGTTGAACAAGGTTGATGGATTGCTCAGCTCAATAATTAGACAAGAAATTATGTTGAAGGCTATGGCCTCCGGTTAAGACGGACATGTAATCGTGGTTATTTATCCAGAGTTTTTGGTAAAGTGTACTTTAGTTAGCAACTCATGCACTCTACTCCTCAATATATACGATGCTCCACAGACTTTCGATATTTGTTGTTGAAGGACAAGCGTTTAAGAAAATTTCACTTATAATTAATTTGTTCGACTTTGATCATGTTTATTGACTTGACTGAATATTTAGAGTACATATATCCCTTTAGAGCTTCATTAACCAATTTGAGACCAGGATAATAAACATTAAGTTCTAAATGATGATTTTACACCCTAAAGCAATCAATCATGTCAATAAATCAAATCAAAGCTGAAGAAAATCAAGCTAAAACAAGGTCTGTTTAAAGAACAAACACATTGGTTTAGGGAAAAGTAAACTCAGGTAAACAAGGTTTTCGTCCATCATAACACTTTGGTTTTGTGTTCTAAACAGACTTTATTTGGTTCAAAGAATCAAACCAAACTAAACAAATGAAATGTAGATATTCACTTGATACGTCATATGTACCCGAAATATAAGATAGTTATATATATACGATCCACCTTACCCTTGTAAATTTCTTACATTATCCTGTGAAGTAAAATGAAAATGAAGTTTGCATTATAACAAAAGTGGCCATGAATGATAATAAAAGACAACGCTGGAGTTGTAATGATCGTTTTAAAGTGTATATATGTTGTGAACCAGGAGGAAACATGAGCATATATAATATTAAGATTTAAGGAGCCTGCAGGTTGAGCATGGATTTCTAGCAATCATGAGTTTCTAACTGTGTACCAAATGTGATTGATTTATTGGGGGTTCGCTTAAAGGAAAGGGAAAAACTCCATCTGCAAATATCCTCGCATAAATGTGTGCGCGCGCGCTTCACTCGTCGAGGGAGGAGTGAGATAGGCATGAAAATATACTTGTGTGATAGGTAATTCTCTCTCTAACATGTGTTAAGTTTTTAATATTTAGTGTTTATCTTATTAATATGTTATCAGAGTCTTTGATTCAAAGATATCATGTGGTCAAAATGCTCATCCTCACATACTTTCAGGTATTTTACACAAGGTAGAACTGAACTTAATCCGTTGCACTTTAAACGTGTCTCTTTACGTTCAAGATTGGGCAACATGTTAGCTTGATATATATTGTTAGTTCATTTTTTAATAACTCGAGATTTTGTGGCCAAGTAATTATCAAAGAACTTAAGTAATTAGGCGTTCAAAAAAAAAAAAAGAGCTTAAGTAATTAAGAATTTACTTATGCTTTTAATTTCCTCGTCCTCTAATATCGCTTAAACTATAAAATAAAATCAAATCAAGTCAGCTCCAGTAACTGAATCACGGGAAAGTTTTATTTGGACAAGACGCATGACACACATGCAACCCCAATAATCAAATCCGCACTTGAAATGCCGACCTTTTTATTCACTCAAAAGAAGTTTTGTCCTCATAAGAAATGTCCAAACTCTCGTGTCACTTCAAAACAAAATGCTCCCACTGACTTGAGTCTAATTTTTGGTCCTATGAAAAACTTGATTCTTTTTAATCTCTCCCAACATATTCAGGACAAACAAGTCCCGACGAATAATGGCTGTTTTTATAACAATTTATTAGCAGAAACAAAAATGGTTAACTGTACAATTACCCATATAATATTATTTGGTTAACAATAAACGGCCAAGGGGTTTGGTTTGGGTTTTTTTTTTTTTTTTTTTTCTTCCTTCCTTCTTCTTCCTCCTTCTTTCTAGGTTGCAAGGGGTTGGGTTTGTTGGGGATGGGGGGGGGGGACGAACTGTGTTTGGTTTGGGATTTTTTTTTTCCTTCTTCCTATTCTTCTTCTTTTTGGGTTGCGTATTTTTTTTTTCCTTCTTTTCTTCTTCTTCTTCTTCGGGTGGGGGGGGGGGGTGTTGATGGGTTTTCAATTTTTTTTTTTTTTTTTTGTTGAAGATTAAGCAGGAAGATGAAGATGGGGGAGAAGGAAGAGAGAGAGAGAGAGAGAGAGGAGAGAGAGAGAGAGAGAGAGAGGAGGGGAAGGGACAAAGTGAGGGCTTTTTTTTTTTTTTTTTTTTTTAACTTTTGTTTTAATATTTAAAAAATATTAAATAATTTTTTTTTTAGTTTTTAATAAATTTTTATTAATTTTTTTAATAGAAAGTGGGCTCCGAATCAAGCCACGTCAGTATTTAACTGAAAAATAAACGGCCAAGCTAACAGAATGTATAACATTGGCACAAATTCTAAAGATGAGGTATGACATTGTCAATTTAAAAAGATGAGGTATGAAAGTGTCGTGACACCAAAAGTTGAGGTAGTTTTTTGTACTTTACCCATGATTATAATTTGGTTTAGTACCAAGTACTTTCCACAGCATAATATTAATGAGAGGGTCGACTCCATTAATCAAAGTAACCACACCTAATCACTTTTCTTCTCCTGTAAAGAAATATGGTGCCCTCCAAATTCTCCTGTCACACCCTGAGCCCTAGATACACCTAAAATTGACATGTGTCAACGTTCCAATCATACATAATATAGCTCAGACGTTCAGTGGAAATAATATTACAATAAAAGTAGGCAACCCTACTCTCTTGAGTGTACTGCCCACACCAGCTAAATCACTTGAAATCCTCTTCTCTAACCGCTAACTGTACTATGCAAGAAATTGTCCCACACCGAGAGAATGTTGCACTGAGCAAAACAAAAACCCAAAGAAGATGCGAAGCTCGTGAGAGACAATAATACGACATATGTGATTTAATAAAGTCAGTCCATCTCATCTATAAAACATTTCACAAATCCTTTGCATATAAAAGAGAACCTGAATCACAAAACTTAATTGAATCCACACATGCATTTAATCATCTCTTTCATATATAATAAAATAGTATAGCTAGTAGGCTAACACAAAGTACAATGTTCTGCATTCTAGACGCAATCATGGAATTAGATAGAAATGATACAGAAATATAGGAAGTAGGATTCTAGACTCACTCCATGGAATAAAAAAGAAAGGAAGTACTCAAAGAAATTCATATCTACACATGAAACGAGAAAGAAGTATTCCAACGTAATGGTCCTCTACTAGTTGTCCTAGTTGAAGCGAGTCACTGTTCCGATTCCGTTGGAACGAGCATTCCTACCAATTCCATTTGGAAGGGGTAGATCCTGTCGATTAACTTGGTTTAGCAGCTATTCCGGGTCCAACACCGACATCAGTAGCACTACCATGAGTTGACTAAGTGAATATTGCACCAGTAGACCAGATCGAGATCAAAATCCATACCCATTTCTTCTGGATTGGATCCAACAAGAGCTTCTTTCAATTTGCAAACTTTACATACATACTAGCCCTTCCAGACTACTATGAACTAGCACAAAGATCGAAGTACTTAGACATGATCAACACCTATGAAAATACACAAGTCGTATTTTAGAATCCAATAAATTATGAGACACCAGAACAATTCGAGGCACGTTGACTAAAAAATCAACCGTCAGTCAAAGTAGCCCCACTAAGGTCAACAACACTAGATTCTTCAATTCGGAAGATACAAATGAAGTTTTTCGCTCCACAAGCTCTCAAAGGTCCGACAATCAATAACTATCACGCAAACAAAAGTGCACAAGGATCCAACGGTCAGATTGTTTTTAATTACAAAAAATGAGTGGCAGTATAATTATCTTAAAAATTAAATAACAAAATCATCGCATCGAGTTTCAACAAACGAACCTTAGATATAGGTTCAGGGCATCGAGAAGGTCTCGCTGTCCAAAATCCATTTGCCAACTACTTGGTTTATGGCTTTAATTGAAGCTGCGGATCCTACTCTTCAAACCGAAATACCCACATTGATGGCCGATCTGATTCCAAAATTGAATAAATCGGCAGATAAGAATATTTGTCCATTTGTAATGGAAATTATATTAGTAGAAATATAAGCTGAAACATTTTCTGACTGGGTCTTAACTATTGGTAAAGCAGTCATACTTCCTTCACCTAAACAAGAACTTGATTTAGCGGCTTTTTCCAAAAGGTGTGAATGTAAATAGAAAACATCTCTCGGATAAGCTCCGAGGCCCAGGAGTCTCTGTAATAGGAGAGACATGATACACTTGTGCTTATTTGGAGAGATCGTCATAAATGATTGAAGATCGCTGGAGTCGAGAAACAAGGAAATGAGAGAAAAAAGACGGAAATGAAAAATAAGGTTCCTAGAAATTCACTAAGCGTGTGTTTATGCACCCGTAATAGAAATGAAAATAAGGAATCTGATTCCGATTACAGATAACTCTTGTGTTTACTACAATTTAGAGGAATCAACAGTGTGTGGGACCCACACATAAAATGGAATTCAATTCCTGAAATTGGAGGAATTGGACTCCCTCCATGGGTGAGGTATTTGGATTCCGAGATGGTGAAGGAATGGGAATGCATTTCTTCTTTCCTATTATGCCCTCTTATCAAGAGGCTTTGCAGATGCTTCGACAGACGCAGCACCGTCGAGTGTTGGAACTGGGAAGATGAATTTGAACTAGCATCCCAGACTTCCCCAGAAAACTTCCATTTTTATTCTGATCGTGACTATGGTCTTCCACCGAGTGTTGGATCCTTCTACAAGCCCTTAAAGAAATAGCCATTTTAGCCAATTCTAAAGTTAATCTCCAATAGATGTATAAATACTTCAAAATCTTTTTCTGGACATCCTCCCACTGTAGTTCCACGTC